TGCCATTTTTAATTGCTGTACTTAGTATTATTTGGAAGCTTAATGTTGACGTGAGAATATTTCTCTGTATTTTACAAACAGATTGAATGAGAAAAAGCAACAGTCTTGCCCCACATTGTAAATAGAAGTTGGCAGTTCCCCCCTCCTCCTTAAACTCTAGGGGAGCAAGTAATGAATCTTAAGCTTCCTCTGTATGGTGCTAATGCTTAGTATCCTACTATATAGGGTGCTCTTTAAATATAATAGATATGGGAATCAGATGGCAAACTTATTAATTCATAAATTGTATGTGGACTCAGATTTTTACCCCATTTTCTCTTTTCTTAAAAGATCCAAGAGGAAAGTCCTTGGAAGGAAAGATTCTGGGGACATGTCTATTAGAAGCAAATCCAGGGTTCCCCTTGGCAGCAGTAGCAGCAGTGCCAGTTCTGTTGCTTCAACCGGCAGCAATGTGACATCTGGGACTAGCCAGAGGTCTCCTGGTCTCATCTACCGAAATGCCAAAAAATCCAACACATCCAACGAAGAATTTAAGCTACTGCTTCTCAAGAAAGGCAGTCGCTCTGATTCTAGTTACCGCATGTCTGCCACCGAAATCCTGAAGAGCCCCATCCTGCCCAAGCCTCCTGGAGAGTTCACTTCAGAGTCCTCACAGAGCCCTGATGATACCCACCAGGGCACACCCGGGGCTGAAGCGCTGTCCCCTCTGTCCCCGTGCTCTCCACGAGTCAATGCAGAAGGGTTTTCCTCGAAAACCTTTGCCACCTCAGCATCATCCCGGGTTGGACGTTCCCGGGTCCCACCTGTGGCCAGCAGCAGCCGCTACAGTGTCCGCTGCAGGCTGTACAGTACGCCAATGCAGGCCATCTCCGAGGGAGAGACTGAAAACTCTGACGGGAGCCCACATGATGACCGATCCTCCCAGAGTTCCACATACTTTGCCTGAGCCAAGCAGACCTCAGATGTACAGCCCCTTATTGTTGAATGAATTGTGTGATATCGTAGAGGAACTAACTGGGAGAAGTGGCAACAGGGTGGGGGAATCGCATCGTTGCTTGGCCATGAGCTTCTACATATGTGCTGGAAAAACAGAAAGTGATTGAGTCATTTCTTTTTTATTAGTTTTCATGTTTTAAGTAGCAGTTCTGTCTGTCGTGGTTTTCTTTAGCATAGTTTGATTTACCCGATCTCATTCGTTGTGATAATAAAGAATACAAAAATATCTAACTTTCTTGAAACCTAGACAAGGTTTTCCCAGAGCTGCCTATTGTGAAAATAAAGCCCTCACTGTCATACTTTAAGAAGATGAAATTACTCTGGGGGTTTGGTATTTTTTTACATTAAAATGAACTAAAGCAAGATTTAGAAGAAAGAACTACACATATGTAAATACCATATTTTTGATAAAAATGTGTAAATAGATTTATCAATGATGAGTGGACAAGTGGCCAATTATCTACCACACACCAATTGTTTATAGGACACACAAAATATAATACCTGTATTCTGTGAATACCATTTTCATATCAAATACCATGTTTAAATGTCCACCAACATGATTTCTGAGTGATAAACCTCAAATATGAATTTAAAACTGGTGAAATAATGGAAATATTGAGGTCATGTACTGAATTGTGATTAACTTAAAATAACGAATTCAGACCTAATCATTGTTGTGACAAATTGTAGCAGAAACAAGCTAATCTGAGTTTGTGGCTGTGTCTTGCCATGTGGCAATTTGAACAGAATGAAAAGCATGCTTTTGATCATTTTAACCAATGAGAGAAATCATCCTTCTCAATGCAAAGAACCCCCCCTCCCAATAGCGTTAAACAGTGTCCTTTAGAGTCTAATTTTTTTTTCCAGTGAATTGCTTTAAGAAGAATGAGTAGAGAAACCAGTAGTTAATTTTAGGTCATGTTTTCTATAAGGCTACTGGGGACAAACAGTCATACTCTCATGACTATACTCATTAAGCTTCTTGATTAGCTCCAGGTTCTTAAACTAACAGAGATAGAACCTAAGCATGCCACAGAGCTATTGAATTCTCAGTAAGCACCCGCCCTGTGATGAGTTTTCAGCGAAGCTTTTTCTCTGTGCTGATGAGCTTCATGCTACCTAAAACTTAACAGAAGTGACACTGTGAACAATGTCGTTGGGAAATGAGTATGTGTATATGCATTATTTATATTCACTCTTCACCTGGGCATGGGGAGCAGCTCTGGTTCACAATGCTACATACAGCATTTTTTTTTGGTCTGATTTTATTAGAACTGCTTGATGGCAAAAGGGGAGGGTGGTGGGTGGGAAAAGAAACGTCAGGGCAAGCGCCCTGATAAAATGAAGGCAGGGAAACAAGCTGAATTACTTGAAATTACTTGAATTTTCTTGTCTTAAAACTGAAAAAAAAAGTATAGAAACAAGTTGAAATCTGCAAGTGGTTCTCACACCTCTGATTTTAACATGAACTGATACTAATGTTTGAAATCATATGTCAGAAATATAAGCACCTATGTACTTAGAATAGGTTTTGAATGGAAGCAGTAGAAATTAGAACTAAGGAGAAAATGATCTGTGAAAGACAATGGCAGAACACACCAGGGTTACCAAGCAATTGAGAAGCAGCTGGCTTTATGCTTATGCAAGTGGTATTTGAGAAAGGAAGATGTATGAAAGGATTAACTCACGATAAATGAAGGAGAAAGTATGGTCTAAGAAGACACTGTCTTTCAATAGAAATTCGTGATAATATTTACAGATTAAGAATTAAAGAATCTGTTGTCGGTGTTTTGTTTGTTTGGGGGGAAATGTCTGGCTTCTTCTATTATTTGTTTTTACTACCAAACTGTGTTAGTTAATTTCTTGTCATTCTTGTATGTAAAATGGGTGTTGGGGGTGGAGGGGTAGAGGAGGAGACTGAGAACTGGGAGAAAGAATGAGAGAGAGCTAGAGCGAGAGAGCGAGAGAGAGAGAGAGAGAGAGAGAGAGCAAGAGCGAGAGCGCAAGTGTGTGCTGGGGATAGATAAACTACCTGGTAAAGGGTTTGAACATATACAAAGTGTTAAATTTTTGTTAAAAGAAAATGTTGGGGATTAAATGAAATTTGAGCATCATTTACCATTGGAACATGTAACTCATTAAAAAACAAAAACAAGCAACACACATACACACACAACCAGCATGGTTTGACATCGTGTGGGGTCATGAACAAATCTGTCTCATGCTTTGAAAGTACATTCCACAAAATTTTAAAAATAAAAGTTTTTAGACAAATGTGATAAGGAACCATCGTTTTCAGTCACAATAGGTGATCATTTGTAATTTTCATAAAAGCAGTTCGTTTGCAGTATGGCTTTTGTGTAGGTAGGGGGTTTTTTAGTGTGAAGAAAGGTATGTGGGTTTTAAAAGTGATTCTAAATCTTGAATAGAAAAACATAAATTGGCTTTAATAAAAATGTCACCTTTTATTATTGACATTAATTTAAGTAATCATATCATATATTTTTAAAATACATATTTGACTTGAATAGTGAGGCAATAAGGTACCGTCTATGTGATGATCACAGAACCACCCTTATAATATAGTTTTACTTATTTTGTTTACTCTAAAAATCTATATCAGAGTTTCTCTATTTTGTATTTCATAGATTTAAAGAAATCCCAAATAAAGACGGATTTTAGATTCACTGTGGACAAGAATATTGAATACGAAAGTTTTAAAAGCAAGCAAATCCTTAAAAATTAGTCTTCACAGCTTTATAATATACTAAACAAGACCAAGACGTAGGGCTGTCTTTAACATCACTGTCAGCTTGAAGCAGGGTACACACATTAGCTATTGTTTAAAAAATAAAAACAAACAAGACCAATTGAAACTTCTTCTGTTGTTTGCACTGATGCAATTTTTTCTTCTTCTGTGTTTATCCAACATGGTTATGTTGTGTGTGGGAATTCTGTTTTACTTTCTTGCTTTTCTGGTGATTCTGGTTTGATTTTGCTTGTTTTGGTTTTGGCTCAGTAGAGGACATGGACTAGTAGCAAACAAAATACACCGTTTGCTCTCGCCAGTGAGTACAATCTCTTTAGTGGTGGATGCTGAGAGGATAAGAAGGTAACAAAGCTTGAGATAACAAAGCTTGAATTCTGAAGGTTATGGTGTAACTATTTTGGTACTAGAACCAGTTCGTGCTGGCCGAAAAGACAATGGTTTTTGGACTTGCATCCATTTTGTATTTTTGTAACATTTGTAAATATGAACTTTTTAAATTGTTGCAAAGATGGTTTCTTTTGTAAAATGTTTTCAACGTTTACATTCAATCCAAGCCTTTGTATATTTTAGAGCTGTGCAACACTTTAAGTATTGTATTTATTTGTAGGAAAAACGGTGACAGTTTCATTGTGAACCCCTCTCAAAAAATGTATCAGAACAGTTTGATTCCCTAGAAAGTGTGTATAGAGACTGCAAATAAACGTGACTGCAATTAAAGAGCTGCGTTGTTTCTTTATTGTTATGTAACTATAGTTGGGAGGTTTCACAAGCAGGAAGTGTTTTATAGGCACCCAAATATAAAAGGGGTTTATTAGCAGGAAGACATGTTATCTATAATGGACACTAATCTAGCTTCATTTTTAATAGAGAACAACATATGTTCAATACTCAAGCTACTTTGTGGTTCCTTTCTATACTAGATGAAGGTTTGTGACTTTTTTTTGAAACACTTGACTGCTTTGTTTCAAAGTTTATTATACTTGTACATCCAAAAGCACTAATATATGATATATATATATATATATATATATATATATATATGGTAAATTGCCACTAGTTAATGTTACATCAACTTTATTATATAGCAAAACTCCTGTATCATACACTATGTGCTTTGAGCGCACTAATGTGTATACTTCCCAAGAGAAGCTCATTTTATACTGGACAACACGCAACACGACTATGATTTAGCTTGCACAAATAAGTAAGTTATGTTACTTACTTATTCATGATGTTTAAATCCAACAACTATGACACTGGAATATGTTAGTTTCATACTGCAGTCTGTGCTTATTGGAGACTGGAAATGACACTACTAGTGTTCCCAGGCGACAAAAAAAAAATGTGTTAAGACGCCAGCCCCTCTGCCCCATTCAGGTTTTAGCACTGTGTATCCCCGGAGCCCAGTCATCTTGGACATCTCTAGTGGATTCCAGGAGGTGGAAAAGGGTATATGGTTGTATGTTAATAGTAACATGCTTTAATAACCAAACGAAAATGCTTGCCACACACTTAGGAAGCTGGCACTTTGAATCACTTTTGGGGCTAGAAGTTGTACTAGCTAGCCCAGGCCCCAGTGTCTCCACAAAAAAAAAAAAATGTCTGCCACAGCGCTCTAGAGGCTCCTTGTCTGCCAACTGTCTCAGCTACAGTTAAGTGTAGGAGCAGAGGTCCAACTTCGGACCCTCGAAGCCAGAGGTCTTGCCTCTCAGTAGGCAGAAAGACCCTCTCCTCTGGAAACCTTCCCTATCTCCGTCTACAGTGTGAAAAATCTCCGGGTCTATACATGCTTTTGGTCACTCAGGGATTTTGCGGGCCATTGTTGAGTCACACAAGCCGTGAGCACGTATCGCTTTATGGTCAGGCACTTTGCCGTGCTGCGCTTTGCGACACACAGTGCATCAGGCGCACCTGGTTTCTGGCACGCGGACGGTTAAAAGGCGTCAACGGCCATCGAAGGTGGTTTCCCAGCTGGCGGACGTCGAGAGGGTTCCTCAGCGGCCTGCCGGCAGCTTTCTAGAGACTGGTGTGCCATCAAAATACGTAAGTTATGAGTATCTTAGCCCCCTCTTTAACCTTTGTTGTCGTGGGTGTGTGTGTGAGAGAGAGTGTGTGTAGTAATGTGGAAAATCAGAAGTATTTTGCCATCGGAGTGAGAAGATACGATTGGCGAATCTGTACTTTGACGCCTCAGATGATGAACGCTCTATGGTTGGATGATTTTTCTTCAATAATTTTTATGTCTCCAGGCTACCAGTGCTTGGGATCTGTTAGTGGCCTTGGTGCTTAACCGCTTTTTAGTTGACAGTAAAACCTTACCATTTTATAGTAAATATGTTAGTAGGAAGGAAGAAAAAGATGTAGCGGCGTGTTGAGGGCACCTTCTAGAGTGTTGTGTTTATCATTAGCTTAAGCATCCATAGGACAGACATGGCATCCTGGAACAACTGTAAAATGTCTGCGTCCCTGTAAGGCCCAGTAGTTTCCGGATATGCTTCTGAGGCTGGCTGAGTGCTGTGTGCTCCTTTGGTTGTTATTATTATTATTATCATCATTATTATTATTATTTGTTTTTGTTTTGTTTTAAAGGCTCTCATCTGTTAGGAATCATTTGGCTTTCTTCTCTCCTGATTCTTTCCGAATTCAGGTTACTGTTGTAATTTGCCATGTATGTTGTTAAGGAAGAGTTGAAGGTTGATTTCAGCCCGTTAGTCAGTGTGACCTATATTTAATGGGATACATTGATGGGATATAGTTTTCCCATTTTGGGCTGTTTTAGTATAACATTGAAAGACCCTATATGTTATAAATTGAATTTTGTGTTTTTAATAAAGAAGTCTTAGAATAAAAGTTTGTTTTCCTCCATCCAAGATTTGTGAAGTATTCCGTATGGAATAAACTGATGGCCAGTGACTCCTCAATTTAGTTGTGTGGGTTTTATAACTTAGAAAAATCTCACTGCCTTGATTTGCCTTTTGTGTTTTAAAGAATTATTTGGAGAAAATGTACTTTTTAGTCATCTTAATAATTGTTAGCTATGCCTTATGGGATAAGTTGATGGCAGGTGACTCTGCAGTTTAATTTGTTTGGGTCTTTTATAACTTGGAGATATCTACCTGTTTTGGTTTGCTTCATGTATCTTTAAGAAGTCATTGAGTAGAACATGGTTTTAAGCCATCCTACCCCCTGTGATTTATGTCTTATGGGATCAACTGGTGGCCTTTGAATCTCCCACCCACCCCCAATTTGGTGTCTATTTTCAGATTTTTGAAACTTGAAATTTATGTATTTGCCTTGTGGGTTCTTAAGAAATTTTATGGTAAAAAAATCTTTAAGCATCCTTTTCTCTGTGAGCTCTGCCTTATGGGATAAGTTGATAGCAGGTGATGGTGTGGATTTTGACTTTTTTGGGTTTTTTTTGTTGTTGTTGTTGTTTTTTTCTTAGGAAGATCTTGCTGTTGTGAATTGCTGTCCTTTAAGAAGTCTTGGGTAAAAGGTAGACTTTAGCCATCCTAATTATTTACAACTATACTTAATGAGATATGTTCATACAGATCACTCTTCCAGTTTGGCATTATTTGGAGTTTCCTTTCTTAGAAATTTCTAGCTGCTTTGATTTGGCTTTTGTGTCTTTATGAATTGTCATGTAAAAGGTTGTTTTGAGCCATGTTAGACATTGTGAGCTATGCCTTATGGGATGTGTCGTTGGCAGATGACTCTCCTAATTTGGGCTGTTTAGGGTTTTATAACTTGAATTGGAGTTATCCTGATGCTTTGATTTACTTTGTGTGTTTTTAAGAAGTCATAGGGTAAAAATAATTTGATACTATCTGATACTTGTTTTTTTCTGATTCAAGATCTACATTGTATTACAAGAACAACATTGTATTATGTTTTCAGACAACTGGCTGACTCCAATAGTCATCTTTAATTGGGCTGTTTAGAAAGTACTAAAGGATTTTCAAATGTGTCAGTCTTTTTTTAAATTTTTTACTTTATTATTTTGTTTTCTAGGAATTTTTCTTCTAGAAGTACTTGTACCAGTGCAACACTGTTCTACAACGTTCATTGTAAGAGTAAAACTTTAGAAGTAATTTTATGGTTTATTCCCAAGATAGAACACTAGGAAATTGTTAAAGTGACCATAGTGTTAGCTTGGAAAGGCCTCTCCTACCATAGGCTACTTCTGCCTGATTTTGAGCTTTGAGTTGAATTGTATACCGTGTTATCTTTCATGTCTGGATTCTTTTTCTCAAGGTTGTGGTTGTGAAGTTCATCCTTGTTGGCAATAGCCGTAAGTAGTTTATTTTCATTATAAAGTTTTCTTTGTTTGGTTATAGATACAGGTTAATTACTTACAGCTCATGACAATCTTAGAGTCAGGAAATCCTAAACAAAAATAAAATGTAGTAGAAATTATAGGTCAAATTGAGATGCATTACTATAGTGATATTTCATTTGTATTTTAATAATAAATAAAATTTGCCTGAAGTTCAGAGAGTAAAACAGCCACACTGGTCAGCCTTACAGACCAGAAAGTGATGACACACATGCCTTTAAAACCAGTAGCCACACCCATAGAAACTGGGTGGTAGTGGTGCATGCCTTTAATCCCAACCCTAGAAAGGAATATAAGATGGGAGGAGACAGCTCTCAGACACAGTCTCATTCTGAGATTCCTGGATGGCCATTTCAAACTGAGGTAGAAGTAAGAGACAGTGGCTGGCTGTTTGGCTTTTCTGACCTTCAGGTTGAACCACAATATCTGTTTCTGGGATTTTATTAATCATGTTGCATATTACAATTTGAAAATTTTATGCAACATTGGTTTGCATTTGTCTAACTTGAGAGTTAGCTCTCCCATCTTTTAATCTCCCTTTTAATTTCGTCCTTAGGGACTCTGGTCACTAGTCTCCCCACAGCAGACTAAAGGAGAACAGGAAAGGGTGAGACCCTGGTCCCTTTATTATGTCTTTCCCTGCTGCTCTGTCTCAGAGTGAATAAAATGAATTAACTTTTGCTCTAGGGTGTCCCTCTAGTAACTTTGCGTCAGGAATTCAAGTCATTCCTTGGATTGTAGACATGCCTGGTTCTGGTTCCATATTGAATGACTCAGGGCTATAATCCAGCCTTAAAAATTCTAGAATTTATTTTCATCTTATATTTCACATGCATTTCTTTATTTGGGTTTAATGTTAAAAGTCTAACTCATAAAGCAGTCATAATTTTGGAGCTGCGGTGGGCCCTGGAGATGGGAGCCTCAGAAGGGTTTACAGGGCAGGTGAGGAGGTGGAGCCTCCTTGGTTGACTCTACTCACATTGCAGCAACAGCCTAACAGAAGGAGCAGTTCAGAAGCAGCCCAGAAGCAGAAGCCTCACCACCAGGAGCAGTTCAGTATCAGCAGCAGCAGCACCACCACCACCAGCATCACTAATAGAGACACCAGAGATGGAGACTTGAAGTGACAGCAGCAGCAGCAGCAGCAGCAGCATCTGAGATAGCAGCAGAGATCCTAGTGGCCAGACAGTAGTGGCCGTAGCATTGGTGTCAAGGGTGGCAGTGGAAGCTGCCTTTAGATCATAACAGATTATTGGGGCAGTATGGCGGCATTCTGTCTCCCTAAGCAAAAACCCCTTTGAGCTCCTTGACATAAGTGTTAGCAGTATATTCTCTTGGGTGGCTTTTAGTGCTCATTTTGTAGTTTGGAAGCAACTGTTCACAGATTGCACTTTCTTTAAACTTCATTCATTGTGTGTTCCCAGTCATTGCTCTTCTATGTATAAAGATTTATTCTAGTGCTGGAAATGTAGCTTAGCAAAAAGGCACTAACCTACCATAGATAATATCCTAGGTTTCACCCTCCGCCCTGTAAAGCCACCCATGTTAAGTTGATGTAGATAGTAGGTACATGAAGTAGCATTTTTATGCATTTCTTTTCAGGAGTAGAAGGTTTGCCTCTTAGATGACTAAACAGTTTCACAAGTAAACCTTCCAGCAAGTCTAACCTGCCGCACAGCAGTGATGTCTGCCTCCAAAGAAATGGCTGTGGTTTGTATTTTAAATTGATCGTCTCTGTTCTTTAGCCTGGTGTTGTAGTTTTGCTAAACTGAGTTAAATTAAATAAAGTGAAATGTACTAGGTAATAAGTGCAGTTTTGACAATGATATATAAAATTTCTATGAACACTTGTGTATAAATTTAAGAACATACACTTAACATTTCTTCTGGGTACTCTGAAATTGAACTGCAAACAAGTAGAGTCTATATAAAACTCAACTTTATAAGAATCTGACAAACATCTTTGCAAATTGGTTTGCCTTTTAAAAATTTTGTCATATTCTGAGTTTCTTAATCTTTGAAGTTGAACACAAATGGAAATTATTTTTTTATTTATTTTTAATTAAAAATTTCCACTTCCTCCCCTCCTCCCATTTCCCTCCCCCTCCCTAAATGGAAATTATTACACTATATTTAATCTTGCATAGCAGTGAATACATTTCTTTAGTCACATAAGGACACGCATATTAATGCCATTGAAGTAATCTAGGCAGCTTTCAACTTACATCAACTGCTATGCTTTTCATCATTGGAGACAATGCTCACTGTCAGTTATTGAAAGTCATTGTGGGGACAATTTACTTGAAAGCACAAGCTACCATGTGAAGGTAAACTACTATATTTTTGTAAGGAATGTTATATAACACAAGTGTGTGTTAATTTAGTAACCTAATCAGTGGAAGGCTAACCACATACAGAGCTACCAAGTCTTTTTACTTTAAAATCTCTTTGCCTCATTTCTTAGAATAATTATTTTGTGGAAATGTAGCAGTTATTTATGGTAACTTTTCTTATTTATACCCTGTCTTATTTCAACAGCATTTTAAGGTGTTTTAGAAATTAATTTAGTTAAGATGTGTTTAACTGTTTCCTAGTTTGACCACATGGTGGCAGTGTTGGATTATTTAGGAATCAAAACCAGGGCAATGCTCTGACCATGGTCAGTTTGTGTTGTGATTGTTGGTTTTGTTTTGTTTTGTTTGTTTGTTTGTTTTTTTGGCTTTGAAAGCATTTTTAACACTGAAGATTAATGTCTCTGCCCTAAAGTAAGAAGGTGTTAAACTCAATGGAAAAGGGGGCTCTGGTGTAGCTAGATTAATGAGAGCATAGTTCTGCAAGTATTCTTTCTCTTGTTTTCCTGAAACAAGGTCCTTGACCCACCCCGGCTGCTCTTGAACTCATCGCCCACTTGCTTTAGTCACACATGCTTTTCTACATAGGCATGGTATTTAAAACATAGGTCCTTTGATAACACAACAGGTTTTCAAAACCTCTGTGAAGTGAAATTAAAGTCCTCAGCTTTCTTTTTGCTATTTTATATTTTCTTTTAATTTGCTAAGAAATTTTTATTTTATACAAATATGAATGCCTCCTTAGGATGGTAATGATAATATGTTTTATGAGTATGTACCAAAGATTACACATCTCAGTTATGTAAGTAATATTAAGCAACTGGTTGTACAGTACATCAGGGTTTACCATTTTAATAAGAAAAGTTTAAATCTCAACTACTTTCTGGAGTTTCTCCAAACTGACACTCAAGGACATACTCTATCCTGAATCTCTTTAGACGGTGAAATCTTAGCCATTTTGCATGCTCCCTTTTCTTATGTATTAGGACATTCTGAGCAACATTTTACTGGAGATCTAAACCTAGATCCTTCTGGTAAAGTCTTTCGTTTCTCTTTTACTTGGCTGGCAATTATTTCCATTCCTTGTAGTGTTAATTTTTATTTCATCTCTGATTTTATTAAGGCTTTTGAAATATTGGTAAAAATTACAAACAACTTATATAGATAAATATAAGGTATGGTCACTATTTGATGTGACTCCTTCTGAAATAAAGCATTAACTACTTGTGGTATAAAAACTATTTTAGAAAGAACCTCAGCCACCTGAAATTCGTGAAATTGAAGAACCAAAAGCCATTGTGGATATCATGAACCATTTCCAGGTGTGACAACTTCTCTTTTCAGTATGCTTTTGTAGAATGTTAAATTGTAAACATTTCTTACTTTACATGAGGGGAAAGTGTATAATCAATCAAAATTTTGCCATACCAAATTTCTTGTGATTATTCACATCGTTGTGATTATTTTGACAATTTCTATGTAGAATAATATTTTCAGGTGAAAATTTGAAATATCAGTATGTGTATTTTAGAACATTAAAAACATCATTTATCAGGTTTATGTTTTTTCCATCTATGTTGCTTAGTATTAATTTCCACTATACAACTTTTAAAGGAAATGGAAGATTTGGATTCACTTTTAATATGTGCCTAATTAATTACCTAATATCACAACTGAAATGAAAGGGCAGCCTACTCGTGTCTTACAATGAATTTATCTCATATAATTTTGAGGGGAAATCATAAAAATAAACTCGTGGATAGGGACTGATAGAAATATCTAATTACTGCGGATTTTGTGAGCTGTATACCTTGGAGGCAATGGAAGAGTTTAAATAAATGATTCTTGTCCCATAAGGTTTACAGAATAGACTGAACTAACATAATTTGAAAAGTAAAAGTTTATGTGTGTCTTACCTTTTAGACTGACACTAGTGAAGACAGAAGCCATGCTCACAGGCCTTGGTCTTAAGATTGTGCAGGAGTAGGCGTGGGTGGGTAAGGCTGCCTGACCTGCAGTGCCCAAATCTTGGCAAACCTGAAGCCTAGGGTGTAGTGTTCAGCCAAGAGACCAGTAATTGTTCAAGGGATATGGTATTGTGGATGAGCAGTGCTTTGGATCCCAAGCTGTGTTCCTTAGGGGTCCTTGAGAATCCTGTCACATTGCTGAGTGTGCTGATATGCATGCACTCCTTACACGTGTAGGAGATGATAACAATAAAAATATGCAATCTCAGAGGCAGGAGGATTGCCACAGTTCAAGGCCAACCTGATCTATATAGTTAGTTTAAGGCCAGCCAAGGCTCCACAGTGAAACCCTGTCTCAAAAAATAAAAACATAGAAGCAAAGGAGTCTTTTAATATTTGGTGAAAGCGTATTGTTTTTACTCTCTTTTTGGGATTATAATATAATTAAAACATTTCCCCCTTCCCTTCCCTACCTTCAAACCCTCCCATAGACCTCTCCTTGCTCTCTTTCAAATTCATGACCTTTGACCTTTTTCATCAATTGCTATTGCATGCATATGTTTATATATATGTATATACATATATATGCGTGTGTGTATTCATAAATACACCCTGCTCAGCCTGTACAGTGTTATTTGTATGCATGTTTTCAATGCTGACCATTTGGCACTGGACAAACATTTGTTGTCTTCTTCCCTGGGGAAGACTATTGCTCTCACTCTTGGTATTTCTTAATTTCCTATATTTCTTTGTGCAGAGTTGAGGCCTTGTGGGCTTCCCCTGTCCACTTTGGCATGTTTATTGGTATCCTTCTTGTTCAGGTGATGTTGGTGAGATGTTATGGGTCTACACCATAACATCTGGCATCACTAGGAGACATGGTATCACAGTAAACCCCTGATCCTCTGGCTCTTACAATCTTTCTGCCTCATTTTCCACAATGTTCCCTGAGCATTAGGCACAGGAGTTCTTTTATACGTGTATTCATTGGGACTGGGCTCCCAGAACACATTTTGAGAATCACTCACTTTGCTTGCAGTTCTCTCAAAGAGCATTTCTCCAGGACAGTTTTTTTTTTTAGTTTTTGTTGTTGTTTGTTTGCTTGTGTTAAAACTTATGATCCTAGCACCTAGCAAAGAAGTTCTGACAGGAGGAAGGCATTCATCCTTGAATGAAAAAAAAGTTTATGGTATTTTATAAATATATTCTCTGAAACTTTTGAGTGCTTCAAGAAAACCCATCAGCATGTTATCATTGGTGTTCCTCATTGGTATGGCATATAAAGGTGTACTCAGTGCCATTGTGAGATCAACACTGGATGCTTAATTTTTAGAATACTTTGGAGCCCTACATCACCTATGTTTTATTTGGCTCTATAGTCTTCTCAGAGTGGAACACTCACTATATGTTCACAAGCTGTGGTGTGGATGCTGACTCTTATGGTCACCAGATTTGAATGCTTGTCTCCTATGTGAGCACCCTCTTCAGTGGGAAGCACTGCAGTACACACAGGTGGGAGGTTATCAGGAGTTGTGATGCACTCACTTTCTGGCACTGAAGAAACTTGCACATGTGCATGAATCAGCTACTGCAGTGGCAGGTGGAGGAGACAGTATCTCAGCCAGTGTTCTGTGGCCCTTAAAACCAGGCCTCAAATAAAAACATGATGTTTCTGACTACTGGAGAACTTCCATTGTGTCTAGCAATTATCTCTTTGCTTTATGCATTTTGAACAGCAACTACTAATGCCTTTTATTATAACAGGTTATCTCTAAAACTGTTCAAAGGCTGGAAAAGAAGATTGATGGCATAGATAACAAAGTAACGAGAATTTATTACTCTCGTGCCAGATCCTTTTGGCATTACCCTGTAAGTATACAAAAACATTATCACAACTTTAATAAATATATTCTGTCTAAAGATGCCAGTCAGTTCAAGTGATAGAGAGTTAGTAAATTTGGGCTTATCAAGGTTGATCTGTACTTCCTGGAGGAGCAGATGAGGACTGCAACTCTTTTTGAAAGAATAATCAAGTTCAAGATTAATGAATATAGAGCAATGAGCATCTTAAAAATATATATTTAAAATACATTTTTAAATATACATTTTAAAAAGTACTTATAAAATATACATTAAATTAAATGTAGGTCAGAAGAGAAAGAAAAATCATGTGATCAAAAGACAACACCATTTTCCAATGTAAAATAATGTTGCATGGAAACCATAATGTCCTGACTACTCTTTATTTCTCTTTTTCTTATGAAGCCTTTTAAATTAGTATCTAGAAGATACAATTACCTGACATCTAAAAGAGTTAAACTCCAGAAAGAGAGCCAAGTAGTTCATGATGATACCTTCTCCTACCCTCAAAGTTACAGTCCAACTTCACCAGTCCGCACAAGGGATGAAGTGAGCTTTGATGTAGAGAATGAAGAGACTATAGATTACACCCAGACGCACCCGTGCCCTGATATTATTGACAACGCCCAGATGTTCCAGAACCCTGATTCTATTGACAATGCCCAGACATACCAGTATGCTGATTCTATGGACAACACCGAAAGTATCCAGAACACTGAGAACGATGCTGTGTTCCATTCTGACGATTCCCTGGGAGTGAGATGTATCAGTTCTTCACCAGAGAGTAAACGTCCAGAAACTCCACAGAGTCCTGTATATACTCCCCAAAACTACCATTGCAGAATTCCTGGCTCTTCTACAAGGACCCACTACAGTGACTTTGAAAATCCCAACTTGCACACCACCATTTCTTCTGCTTCAACAATATTGAGAGGAAGCCACATCCCTCGAGCGGAGCTTATGCCCATTAGGAATCCTGAAATGAAGCGATTGGCCTTACTGGAGGCCCAGAGTACACCTGTGATTGACCCTAATACTTTTGGTGAGTTTGGAATGGTACCAATGGTTAACATCCTTCTTGTTTCCTATTTTGATGATTGGTTTGTAATTATATGTACAATGGTGGGCATTTATTGAGTAAGTATTATGGGTAAGGCAGTGAGCTAATCAACTAACATGGATTGTCTCTGGTGGTCTTCAAAATGACACCATTGTGATTATAAAATCTATTTTCTTTATCTTTCCCATAGTAAATGCCCAACATGATGATGAGGTGCTAAGAAAGAAAGGACATACTTTTGAATAAATCACAAACAGAAAAAATGAAATTTCTGTTGATTCTCTTTGGTTAGAAAAAAGATCCTCCCAACAAATGACCAAGCCCCCTTCATTTGTCATCATATATCACTTGTAGGAAGTCAAACATTCTGCTGAAGGTAATATTTGGGCACAGAGAAGTTTCCATGCCACTTAGTGAATAGTTCAGCAAAACCTGCTGAGATATGAGCACTTACATTGTTTCATGTATCATTTCTTTATTAAAATATTCAACCAAAATATGTATTGCTATTCAATTAAATATGAAAGAATAATTGCATAAAATGTCAAAATCACTTCTGATTGAACTCATCAGAAAATATTTTTATTTTCAAATTTACATTTAAACTACAAGAGGTGTGAATATAAAAATTGTGATATTGAATTTAAGAGACAGATTTGCTTCAAAGAACTTGTTACCCTAAGATAACTAAGGTTATTGAAATTAGTTGGTATAACCAAAAATTAAGCAGTGTTAAAGTGTAAACTTTAGGGATTTCCACCACATTTAGTACAATAAATTAATTTAGAGAAAGTGACATTTAAGAGAGATTTTCAAGAAATACACTGAAACCCTTAAACTAAGAGAGTACTGAGTTAGCTCAGTTTATCCCAATTTAATTCAAGTAGCACCTTTTCCTGTACTTGCTTGTGACCTAAGAGGCCTTGGATTGCTACACGTGTTTCATGACCATGGAAGCTTTGTACTTTCTAGTGTAAAGCTGTTCTGCTCTTTGGGGAGGTCCAGTGACATACTCTGTGTAGCGCATCTTCGTTAAGGCTCTCAGGAGATTTTACAATTGGAGTCTTAAGTTCTTAATTAGGTACTGAAGAGAAGGTTCCAGGAGTGAGACCATTACTTTTACCTAACATCTCTTCTTTTCAAGGTGCTGATCGGGCTTTTAAAAATGTTTCCCCCACTCATTGTTGCAGGTTTGTCATCCAGTTGTACCAAGGCTGTTATGAAAGGCCTTGGAAAGCCTTTAAACTGGTCTGTGAATGACGTGGTAACATTTCTGAACCGTTTAGATCCTCCGTTGGCAGACCAACTCTACTCCACCATCAGAGAACATGTAATGTATTTTTAAATTCAATTTTCCTGCTACCCTAATGCTGTTGAATGACCTCTGAGCATTTTCAGTTGGATACTGAGTCACCAACTGAGATGGTAGGGGAACCCTATTATCTGATTTAATTTTTGTTTGTGAAAAGGTTGCCTTGTCCATCCTTCTGTGCTTAAATGTTAGGTTAATTGTCTCTTGTTTATATGGGTAGCTAAATTTCTAATACACTAAATAGCCTCAAGTTCGGTGGTTTAAGGTTACAGGTCTTAGGTAGACCTCTCTCCTTGCAAGGACAAATTCTTCCCATACTAGAGACTATAAGTAAGAAGAGTTTACCCACAGTGCATACGAGAGTAGCCTTCTTGTTATGATATCCAGAAACTAATTCCAGATGATCAGTTCTGTTTCCCTTATGTGACTATTGACAACTGTGATGCTGATGACAATTTACAAAGCGGTATCATGGTTAAATTCTACTTTTCCTAGTATTTTCTTAAGTTTTTTTCTTTGGTAACTTAAAATTCTGATTGCAGAGGTCTTTTAATTTCTTGGCTTGGTTTATTCCCAGGTACCTTTAAAAATATTTGTGAATACGTTTTTTGTTTTTGTTTTTCTCTAATTCCTTTAATTCCTTCCTTGGCAAGATTTTTTTTATTAGTACATAGAAAAGCTACTGCTTTTTTTTTAAATGAGAATACAGGCTGCTTTTATTCTGATTTGAGAATTTCGCCACATATCTCCACAACTTTTGGTCCTTAGACTCTTTTTGTCAACTCTTTCAAGATGATTTCTGAGTCTTGGATGATAGGGTGGCTGCATGGGGGAATCTCTGCACATGGATGAGTTGTGGGTCTCTTTATTGATCACCATGTTCTGGAAAAAAACTTTTCTGTTGAGGATCAAGGGATGTACTAATATATAAATATATAAACATATATATATATACACACACATATACATATGTGAACTAAGGAGGCAGTTTATTGCTATGTTCATTTTGAATAATAATAATAATAAAATAATAATAATAATGATAATAATAATAAATTTCTCCCCTAGATCCTATGAACTCTCCAGCCATAAGATTTTAGATGAAATTCTGTCTTATGGACTAGGCTTTAATCCAATATGAAAGTGGTTGGCTACTCCCATAACATCCACACTAATATACCTATATTCCCAACTGCTTGGGAGGCTGGAGTAGGAGGATCTCTTGAGTCCAGGTGTTCTGTACTGTAGTGTGCTATGCCCATTGAATGCCCACACTAAGTTGGGCATCTTTATGATGATCTCCTGGGAGCAGGGAATCACCTAAGGAAGGATGAACTGACATATCTGGGAAGCTACTCGTTTTGTATTCTGTGACTATTGAAAGTTTAATCAGATCTAAGAGTTTTCTGCTGGCATTTCTAGCGTCTTTTACGTATAGGATCTTATGACTAGAAAATAGAGATAATTTGACTTCTCGTTTCCTATTTGTATTCATTTTTAGTTCTTTCTTTTAACTTGCTGTTATTGGCTAAATTTTAATAAGCTCTACTTCCTTCACTTTCTAATTTTATTTCCTATCATAAGAGATTCTGTGTCTTCTTAGACAAGAATATCTGATTAAATAAAGTTCTATTTTATGCTGGAACTTAAAAAATTATATACTTCAGTAGCATAAGGTGATGGTAAATTAAAACAATAAAGAATTTTTGTAAAGATGCCTTTTGCCTGTCAAGTAGTAGAATATCTATACACCATTTTCAGTAAAGAAAGAAAACCAATAATTAGTCTTAATGTCTAATTGGCTTCAGACAAGTAATTCACTTTCAAATAAAGACAATACTATTGAACACATTTACAGTTTGCATTGATGTTGATATATTCCTAGACTCTATCAGAAAGTTAATAGCCATGAAATTCATTTTTCTCATTCTTTTTACTTTTTGCATGTGTACACAGTATTTTATTCATCGCAGTATTTAAAATTATGGCATTTGATATAGCTAATTTTAAATATTAAGTTAAATTTGCTTTTCTTAAAATTGATATAAATATATAAATTTTAAAATGATACATTACTGTGAAATGATATTTATCATAGTTTTTATACAGAGATACATATTCAGGGACTTTATAACTATGAGAGGCTTTAGTTTCGCATGTTCTTATATACAAAGAAACAACTGCTTATCAAATATACAGTGTTGTTAATCATTTTAAACCTTTTTTCTCTAGGACATTGATGGGAAAGCCTTGCTGTTGCTCAACACTGATATAATGATAAAATATATGAGGATGAAGGTGGGAGTAGCCTTGAAGCTCATCAGCTACATTCAAAAGCTTAAAAAAGGAGTAAACTGTCGCCCGTAAAACAATGTAGAACTTTAAATGTTCTCACAAAGTCCTTCTTAATGCACAACTAACTTCCTATGTTTATTAGTTTTTGTTTTGGAGAAGGTTCTCGTAAAATATGTTATAACTAGAATTGAAAAAATACATTATAGTCAAAGTCAGCTTTGAGTTATTTGACATATTAGTATCAATATATACATATGTCTTCTTTAGATTTTTCATTTTATAGATTAAAAATATGCTTCATGTAAGAAACAAAATGCTACCTTTGATTTGGGTTTATATTAATACATATTTTTAAAGCAACTAAAGAGGAAATACAAGGAACTAATAACTTACATAATTAAAGTGGTGAAATTTTTTGGCAGAAGAGATATTAAAGGAGAATATATAGCTACCCTTCTTGGATATTTTATCTATATCTAGCATACTTTTCATGCTCTTACCGTTTTTAGAAAAAACAATAGCCATATTGTCCTCTCTATTATTACATTTCTGGTATGCTTGTTCAGATTCAGAAGGGGAAATGTCTAATGAGCTCTAGACAACTAAATATAGCGGTTTTCATAGCATATGTAGAACGAGATACTAGTTCAGATTCAGAAGGAGCTCCGGACAACTAAGTATTCTTACCAAGAATTCTTACCTTTTAGACAGGTTTTAAGGTGTATTTATTTGTTTTACCTAAGAATTGTACCTCAATAGTAGTTTGGAATAAATCTGACTATAGTTTTAAGACACATATTTACTATATTAAAGTCTTTATATTTTTTTATGAAATTTGGATATTTAGCTAAGAATTCATTGTTCAAATGTCTATACGAATATACTCATACTCAAAAATTTTTTAAATATGTATTTTATTTTATGTGTTTATTCCTTGTGCAAGTATTATATCTGTACCAAAATTGCACATAAGTAAATATTTTATTTTGAATTTAAACTGGTACCTTACATTGATACAAAGGGAATGATGAGCTATCAACAAGATGCTCTTATTCTGTGAACTGTGTATGTGCCACTTGCCCTTACTAGTCCTTCTCAGGTTAGCCCTTAGAGAGCCAGAAACAGTGCTGAGGCTGGTTTCCATATATGGAAATGCTCTGTCTTCTACCATCTTCAGGCATCCAGGATGTTCACTATTGAAAGATATACTAGTCTGATACGTTTAGAATTTTATATTTATAATTAAAATTTTCAATATAAACATGAGTCACTACCATTTTGTTATTGCTTATCATATTGTATAACTTTTGAAATAAGATAAACTAAGAATTGGTGCTAATAATATTGGTTTTTTTAATTGAAAATGGTAATGAAATGTTCACCAAGGGCAAGAATTTACATTATCTCTTTAGAAAACAAAGTGTACTAGTTACTGAAAATAGGTGGTTTAGAGGATTACTCATTTATATTCCTGCTTGTATAAAGAAATCCTTACTTCATACTCTTCAAAGTGTATAAAGATACTATGCACAGTTGAACATGATTCAGATCTTGAAAAAGTGTTCTGTATTTTTCAGATTTCAAGTTATAATAAAGCCAAAGAACTATAACAATTAATAGCAGTGTCTTAGATATTTTAAATTAAAAATTCATACAATATATTCTGATCATGTTTTCCTCTTCCCATCTCCTTTCAGGTCCTTTCCACTTACCCACCCCTCCAAATCCATATCTTCTTCCTTTTTAGAAAACATCCCAGCAAATAAAAAAAAATCAAGCAAACCAAGATCAAAAACCACAGCAAAAAAAGCACAATACACATACACACACACACACACACACCATAAAAACACAAAATTGGAAACCATTCTGTACAAGCAAAAGAAAAGTAAGGTTAAAAAAGTGACCAAAAAAGCCATATTAGGGAAAAAAAACCTACAAAAATACCATTGAGTTTGTTTTGTGTTGACTGTCTATTTCTGGTCATGGAATCTTCCCTTATGTGTGGTTTATAAAAACCAGTGGGACTCCATTGGAGAAAACTGATTTTCTTTTGCAAGCATTTGTCAATTGGAGATATCCTTTCTGGTAAGGGGTGAAAGACTGTGTCCATTTCCCCCTTTTAGCACTGGGACCTCATCAGGGCTGAACCTATACAGGTCTTGTGCATACTGCCTCAGTCTCTGTGAGTTCTTGTGTGTCAGTCCTGTTGTGTCTGGAAGACACTGTTTTCTTGGTGTAATCTATTCTGTCTGGCTCTTACAGTCTTCTGCTTTCTCTTTCAAATAGTTCTCTGGGCACTGAGGGGAAGGCGTTGATGAAGACATTCCATTTATTACTGTTTGAAAGTCTCTCACTCTGCATATTTTCCAGTTGTGTGTTCCTGTGTTAGTTCCCATCTACTACAGGAGGAAGCTTCACTGTGGATGGCTGAGTGAGATGTTGAACTATGGTTATAGAAGAATGTCATTAGGAACCATTTTATTTCTTTGATCCTTTAGCAAAACAATATTATTTGATTTTCCCCTATGCCCATTACCTGTCTTGTCTTAAACTGTGTGCATGAGACATTGAGAGGCAGCCTATATGGCCATCTCTCAGAAATTCAGAATCTGGTACCTGAAAGAAAATAACTCGGTGTAGTGATGTCCAGATGGGTGGTCTGGTGTAATTGATGCACCAAAAACTGTCTGAGAGCTTCAGGAAGGATAGTTTTCAAGTCTGGCAAGATATACCATTCAGTTGAAATCTTGTTTCATATTTTGAGAGTGGGCCTTGCCCTCTTGTTCCTTGGAGTAGGTGAGTTGGGAAGTGGGCCTGTGGAACAGGAAAGACAGAAAGGGGCTCCTCGGGCATCTCTACTGTTTGTCAGGCCACCTGGTCTGTCCTCCAATTTCCTTTAGCTTCATGTATATTGACTACCTGGTGCCCCTTCATGGATCATAACTACCTCCTTGGGGAGCCAGACCACTTTAAGGAGAGAATTTTCTCTTTATTTTGAACAGTTTTTCCTTCAGCAATTAATAGTTCTTTTGCTTTATAAATAATGCCATGGACATGGATGACAGCAAAGGCATACTTACTCTCTGTATAAATGTTTATTCATTTATCCTTTCCCCAGTATAGGGTTTGAGTGAGAGCAATCAACTACATCTTTAGACTGATGTGCCCTGTGGCAAGGCTTGTGTCCATATGGTGACTGATTGGGTAGTTATTACTGCCCCAGTTGATGGCCACTCTGCTTCCATAGGTAAGCAAATCAGCCTCTGCCTCAGGCAGGTGAGTGTCCATGAAGTCTGGGAGACTGGCCTGAAAAAATGTCCAGCAAGTCCTCACAGTCATGAAGAGGCACCTTAGACTGGCTAACATAGATCAGAAAAATGGGTTAATCAAGATATGAAAGTTAGCCAGTGAGAGGCTAGAGCTAATGGGCCAAGCAGCTTATAATTTATAATTTATGGAGACCTATGTGTGATTTTATTTGGGACTAAACAGCCAGGGAGCCAGGCGGGACAGAAACAACAACAAACAGGCCCCCCACTCCATGTTACAGATTGGCGCCCATGTGGATAACTGCATCCACAGAAAGCCTGAAAAAGCGTGGTAAAGCGTGGTAGAGTAAAGCATTTCAGGTTTTCAGCTGTAGCAGAAAAAAAGCTGCTGTTTAAAAATGCCGGCTTTCTGGGCCTTCCTGCCAGGGAAAACTCTCTTTCAAGCAGGCAATCCCGATGGATACACTGTTGAAGCTTGCTTCCTGGCAAGGACCTTAAAAACACCATAGAGTTGTGGCAAAAACTTCTCCATATTCCTTAGCACATTAAAGACCCATGTGGGCAGAAAAAGAGAGATATACAGTAAAGAGAGATTCAAAGAGTAAGAAAACCTGTAAATGTTTTACAGTGTATTAGAAATATATACAGGCTAAAGGTTAAAGTTCTCAGAGTTAAGAAAAAAAGAAAGAGTAGCCTGGGAGGCAGAGACAGACAGATCTCTGTGAATTCAAAGATAGCCTGGTTTACAGAGGGAGTTCCAGAACAAAGATATACAGAAAACCTGTCTCAAAAAGCCAAAAGTTAAAAGTAAAAATAAAAGAAATAGAGGTTAAAATAAAGCCATGTAAAGATGAAAAATACACAGAGAATCTTGATACTGTATGTTATTATGCTCTCTTTGAATTGTTTGAATGCTGAGGAAGGAGCAACAGCTGCTAAAAGATATTTGCTTATAAATGCTGGAGAATTAATCCAAGATAGATATTTTGAAAATACCTCCGCTTCAAAATTGAAGTCAAAAGGTATGTTACTTTGGAGAAGAGAGTTTGCTTTTGTTCCCACAGAAAATGAGAGATTGTGGATTTATTCAGAGTTAAGAAAAATCAGCTTTGATCAAGGAAGACCACCTGAGAAATCTCCAACAGGAATAGATGGCCCAGATGTCTGAGTTCTTCATCCAGAACAGGTTCAAGATTGCTGCCTGAGATGATCAAGACTCACAGGATACTTCAGTCAGGACTTGATCATAACTCTAAATTTTCTTTAGGTTCCCATAAGATTATCAGCTCCCTCAACCAGCTGGAAGTAGCCTGGAATACTACGCCCACATTCCCAAAATATGGACTATGGGTATTTTCCTTTTTTAAAAAAAAAAAAAGAGGGGGAAGTGGTACAGGAAAATTGTCTGTATTCTGTCAATCATGTTATAAATAAACGCTGATTGGCCAGGTAGGAAATATAGGCAGAAAACCCAGACAGGAAGTAGAAATGATGTAATGAGAACAGGAGAATTCTGGGAAGGAGGAAACTGATTCCTCCCACTCCTGCCCAGGTCACCAAAGCAGCAGGATGTGATCTGACCACTCAAAAAGGTACTGAGCCACATGGCTAACATAAGTCAGAAAAATGGGTTAATCAAGATGTGAGAGTTAGCCAGTGAGAGGCTAGAGCTAATGGGCCAATCAGCTTACAATTTATGGAGACCTATGTGTGATTTTCTTTGGGGCTAAACAGTTGTGGGGAACTGGGCGTGGCAGAAAACCCCAACAAACAAGCAGGCCTGCCCACTCATGTTACATT